GATATCCACTTCCTCCAACTCATCAAGTTCTGCTTGCAGTTCTTCCTGAAAAGAGCTCATATAGAAATTTACAATTTTTTCATATTCACTACGGAACCAAAAATATCCACCCCACAACAACAATCACCTCCGTCTTTTCGTAGGCGAACGTTGCAGAATCATATCCAATCTGCACCTGATGACAATATCTATACAGCTCCAACAAAAACTTATCATTTTTATCCACCTGAGACTCTTCTAAGTACGTATATCAAGAAGCTGAAACTTACTTCAGTTAAAATGTCGAGCTCATCGACGATTTCCTCTTCTTCAACAAAATCGTTGGAAAGACCAGTACAGAAGGCAGTACTTGTCGTACTAGTCCAAGACACGGGCACGTTATTATCTACACGAACACAATTTAGCTGTATCCTTTCGAAAACTTACACTAACTTCTCTCTTCTCTTCGTCATTGCATATAACAACTTTATTACAATAATGAAACGTTAGAACGAACTATTTTGTAAAACTACACTTTTTTACAAAAAAAAGAAAATAGCTTAGAGAAGTACAGAACCTCCATCGTCTTCAGTTGGGGAACTTGACTCGTTGTCTCCTGTGCAGTCCTCCACTCCATTTGTCGACCCGTCTTCTTCTCGTCTTTTCCTCCGTCCTGCGATAGTTTTCAAAAAACAAGAATTGGAATGTCGTATGAAAATGACAATCCTATTCACATTGGTGGATTTTGGTACGCATGTTTAGCTAACAATGACGTCTATCTGTCACAGTGTGGATACTTCAGCATAACAACGGTAAAACACCTGGATAAAAGCATACCACACAAACTACAAATGGAACAACGCCGCTCATCATTAAAGAAAACACCACTACCTCGATCCTCTTTACCACTATAACTAAATAGTTAAACTAAAAAGGTAAAGTTTGAGTCCACTGCCTAATCTTTGTACATTGTATTGACTAACACGAAGAGCTGAAGAACTCTAAGGAAATTTTAAGTTATTACTTCCTGCTTACTCTTTTTAACGGCAGGATATACGTTGTGAAATATAACTTCAATGATGCTGAGATATTTGCAAAAGTCCGGACCGCAGGTGTATGCGGTGGGGAACGAACGCGCTATTATCCTTTCCGGGGAGTAACACGTTCACCACCACACCACGCGGGTCCTTCGTTTCATTTCTCTTTCGTCAGTTAAAAAGAGTAGGTAGTAAATAATACGTTAAAATTGTGATTATAACTACGGCCTCAGCTTAACTGGGTTCGTTGAACGCTATCCGAATAAATCTTTTTATCAATCTCGTGGCGGTTCAATTATGTAAAACATTGTTAATTCTTATATAAAGGACCCGCATGGTGTGGTGGTGAACGCGTTACTCCGCGAAAGGACAATAGCGCGTTCGTTCCTCACCGCAAATACCTCCAGACCGGAGTTTTGCAATCCTCTGTACTTATGTGCAAGACCCCGCACATATGTCGCGTCATTAGGCAAACAGGTAAATAGATTAATAATTATCCAACAGGAAAAACGGCAAAATACAATACGTCGAATGCATCCCTCAAAAAAGCTCTCCAAAATTCTCAAGATGAAGAAACAATCTTGGATGGAAAACAATTTCAATCCAGTTTTTTCAAACGTTGAAGTTTTCCTTCCAAATAAAATTTTATGCCATCTTTTATACCAAATAAAATTTTATGCCACCTTATGCCATTATGCCATAATCGTATTATACAATATTTCGAAGATGGATTCTGTTACAATACAATAACATAGTCCCCTGTTTTCATATTAATTTGTGCCAAATTCAAATCAGGTATCACCACCGTCCTGGTATCAAACCAATCCCACGATGGCAAATCTCTCGCTGGTTCATTAGGATGGCGACGACCTGGAGTGGTGACGACCTGAGAAAAGCTCCGCCTAGGCTCACCTAGGGACTCTATGGAACCACAATGGCTAAACCAGCAAATCCTAGAATGGTAATTAGACTGGACCCTGCACAACCAGTGAAGACGGGCCATCCAAGTATCCGCGTAAGTATCCAAGTAAATTTAAATCAATAGAATACAGTTAAGAAGAATTCGCGCAACTTTTGTACGAATCAAGACATGAAAGCATAGACATTAATCACTTCACCAATGGTACACTTAGAGACTTAACGGTTAATATATGTGCGGTGCCAATATCGAATGTGTGGAAAACGAGCCACTGACGCCAATGATGCCTACTTGAAGACGTCAAGTGATGAAATACAGTCGGCAGATCGATGCAAACACCCAGTGCCGAAAAAAAGGACATTGGTGTAAGTGGCTTCGGGGCAGGTACATCAACTAAGTTGGGAAATCAAAAAGAAATTGACAAATGAGTGCAGCATGAACTGAACCTGTAACAAAGTCATTGTAATGTCAATTTTGCTGAGTCTCATGTTGTGTGATAAAACAACATTGTTGAACACATGTAGCTGCTTTGCTTTCTATGGCGTTTTTTGCAAGGTGAGATATGTACGCGTTAAAAAGTTGAAAACAAACTATTTCCCGCACAACGTAATATATTAGCTCCCAAAATATTCATTTTCGCCTAGCATAGAAGCTGTCTCTACTGTTACTGTCGGACAACCATTTATGAAGTGCTTACAGCGCATTTTCTGGTTAACTTCCAGTTTGAAGCTACGATCACAAATGCTCATGACTGCCAACACGTACTCAGAACACTACTTAAATGCACTCACGAAGCACGGTTGTTAACAAAACTAAGTGGAAAGCTACGCTGTCAAGGTCATTATCGTTGCATCATATATCTGCGATGATGCGAACTTATTGTGAGATTTCAAATGAACAAACCAAGATATAATACCTTCATCGATTATTAAGCAAGTAACGGGATAAGAAGATCCATTCGTCTAACGTTTCGACGTCTTCGTCTTCTTCAGAGTCGAACTGATTCGAGACGATGGCCCATAGGCGGTCGCCTTTAGCTATGCGGATGTTTGTTGTCATAGCGAGCCGAATCCAATGAAGTGAAGAACCGATTGAATGGAGAACCTTACTCGAAAGTGCTTTCTTATACAGGATGTATTTTGATCTACTGCCGCCACTGCCGACGCGACAACGAATAACCACATCGCGATGACGACCATCTGTGGACCATCGACTTGAATCAATCCGGCTCTGAAGAAGACGAATACGTCGCAACATTAGCAGAATAAATCCTGTCATCAACCTCGTATTTGTCACATAGAAGATACTGATTATTTTTGCCAAGGTTTAATGGAAGCGGGGTAGAAAAATAATGATCCGAAACATTTTATATTTCTGACTACCACTTTACAGCATACTATAGTTGCTAGTGTTTACCAATGAGCAGAGAAAAGAAGAAGTTCCCAGACCTATAGAGGATGTTGTGTACGGTCATTCTGCCCAAAAAGATGACCGAAGTGATCTTCATAACTACCGTCTCACATACTTGTTAGGTGTATTCTACAAGCTTTTCATGCAGATTACCTTGTCGCGTATATGAACGACTTTGGATGAAGCCCACCTAGTTGACAAAGCAGGATTTTGAGAGGGATTCTTCTGCATGGACCACATCCAAACCACACCCAAGGTGACGGAAGCTTGTCAGAAATACCACCTGCCTCTATTCCTGAGTTCTGTCGACTATGAAAAAACGTTTCACAACGTAGAAACGAATGCAATGCACTGTCGATGAAGACGTCGACCCGCGCTACACAAGACCTCTAGTTGACTGCTATCGTAATTGCAACATAAAAAGGTTTTGTATCAACCCCTTATCAGAGCCATAAAACGGGTTCGAAAAGGCGACACTATATCGCTAAATCTGTTCACAGCAGCGTGGATGATGACGTCACTCGATGGCGACGACAGGGTTGCACGTCTTTAGGGGAAAATCCCTACAAAATCTTAGTTTTGCTGGCCGCATCGTCATCTTCACAATGCGTATCAACGAAGCAGAGCCAATAACTAACGAGACCACTGAAGAGGGAAAAACAGATCGGACTATGCCTAAATCGCAAGAAGATCCAGTTCATGAAAAACTCTACGTGTGAAGGCAAACAGGTCAAACTGAATGGTTCTCTCACTACAAAGACCACCTGGTATGCGTACTTTGGCCGTTCAATAAACATGAAGAACATAAAAGAGGAATTGGATAGAAGAAGGGGAGCAGACCGACCAATTGAACGAACCAAAAACTTTCGATCGCCTTTCCAATTCAACAGTCCTTCCTGCGCTGTTTTGCTGCGGAGACGCGGGCTGATATTTCGGTCACGTCTAAAATACTTCCCACTGTTCACAAAGCGCTTGATGTCTTCTGAAATAAAGCCAACATACATCTAGCAGGAATGCAAAGTTTAAATCTTCGATGTCTGTATCATTTTTGAAATACAGAACATTACATATCGATAGCGAAAAATAAACGGGTCAGTCATATTAAGAAGAAGGACAGACTGCAGATGAACGAAAAAACTGCAGCGGACTCTACGAAGATGCTCGGAGGACCATCTACACGTTAGGTGGATGTGTTAAAGTCAACCAGCTGTACTCGCAGTTGCAGACTTTTTGGAGATCAAACTATGACACTTGTACACTCCACTGTGCTCGAAGCAAACCACCACCGCGGACAACAACCGCGCGGCAAAGAAACGAATGGAAAACATGGTAAGGTCAGCACTGCCCATGCGAACCGACCATCCAGGTATCCAAATACGTAATTATTTTGCCAATTCCTATGGCTGAATTCAGCTGTAACTTTTCCCAAAAAAAGTAAAATGTTCCTTTCCTAACATTTACGAACGCAAAAGGCTCTTTTCTAATTCCTCACTTTCACATTCATATGATCCTTGAACACGTTTTCGTCTATTGACTTCTTGTGCCTTGATGCCTTCTTCTATGGAACTTCGCAATGCATCCATGTTCGTTTGCGCTGCAAACTTTTCGGAAGCAACTGATTGAAGATCTTCATATGTTTTGCGATCAGGCCAAATCTATAAATCACATTGAAATTCTGTTATAGTGGACATTAGTGAATGAGATGAATACGGGTTAGCCATAGATAAGAACACATGCTCCAAGAATAGAGGTTTTCCGTGTACATAAGAATTTCGGAACGCCCATATCTTGTGGATACAGTCAACTCCAGAAAATTTCAAAGTACTACCTTTGCAATTAGTGAATCAAAGTTAGGATCCGGCCTCAAAGAACGTTTCGAAACTAATTTCTTTCGGCATGTTGGGCACTCTTTGTTTCCTCGAAAAAGAGCAGTCGTGATGCAATCTGCACAAAATCGATGAAGACATTCCTAAACACATGAATAGAAAGGCGAGACAAAATACTGCTCAAACTGAGTTTATTCAGAAAACGTTAGTAATAAATAGTTACACATCCATACCTTTGTAGTCATTGTTTGAGTCAGTAGATCTAGGCAAATTGGACAGCTCAATTCCGTTGACAGAGTTCCAGCTCGCAACCGAAGCTCGGTATTATCCGCAAGAGATTTGTGTGGTAATCGCACCTGTAACATCAATGTAGCCGTCGGAATTCCCAAAAAGGCTATTTTGTTCTTTGGAAAGAATTCCAATAAACCACTCTACACATTCAGGACGACGCCTAATTTTGAAAAGCGGCAGAGTAGAACAGCCAAATTTTCGGCGTTTCTGCGGCAAACTGAAATAAACTCATAGTGGCCACAATGGCATGACAAAAGATCAATCCCACTTCTCAGTCTTTTCGCTCTATATCGATATTTTTTAAGCGCTTTGATAGTCGCTCGTATCTCATTCTCTATGCACGCCTTGTGTTCTACGTATCTTCCCGCTTTCTTTTGGCTTATGTTTTAATAAGCAAATAAAGGACAGGGCAAATTGGATGATCGTTTTTAAGTCGAAAAGTAACTGATGGCTCTAAACCAGCTGTCTTTGTCTTGTTGACCCATTTCTGATTTAATTTTCGGTATTGATTTCTATATTCCTTTTCGGAGGATGTTCGATAGAGAGAAACATCATCGAGATGCTCCTCTGTTATTCTAATAACCAACTGGCTAGGAACAACTACAAATTCTCCACCTTTATCACTAACAGAAAGTCTAACAGATTCCGGATTCAAGAGTTCTCTATTCTGGCGCATACCACATTTATGCTGGCGTGTAAGGTTGGAGCTTAATTTCCTTCTTCGGTGGTGATCATGTATGCGAAGAATTTCGTTCGAAAATAAACGAAATGGGGGTCAATATCGTTATTTGGTAGCTCTTGTTTAAAGAAAGCTCGGAGAAAAGGTATTGGTGGCAGTTCCCTCACTGGTACTACTTTACCTAACCCTTCTAGCTTGGCCTTGTAACGTAGTTGATCTCGAAGTTCATACAGACTACACGTGATCTTGCGCAGGATTGATTTAGAAATGAGTTGACTGCTTCAACTGACGATATTAAGTCAACAAACAAATCATCATTTAAAGTTAGATCTATCATCAGTTGTACAGGTGGACCAACGCATAGAATAACGTGGTTCCTAAACCTTATCCTGACCCAGTTGCTAAATTTCATTCCAACCCATTTACCCAACACCAAAACATTTCTAGACCACCTACGCTGCGCTCAACCAAACAGCACGCATGTAATGGAGTCATTCGATGTTACTTCACTTTATACCAACGTGTCCAATGACTCCGCAATGCAAGCCATTCCCGAGTTGCTCGTAGAGCACGGAAAGAAAATAAAAATGTACGGTTTGTCGATTGCACAACTAATGACGCTTTTAAAACAGTGTTTTAGTTGTTCAATCTTCAGGTGGTCTGGAAAATGTCTTGCACAAATTAGAGGGTTGGCCATGGGACAGTGTTTAGCACCAAGCCTTCTTGTCGCCTTCATGCATAAGGTGGAAGCTCCAGTTCTCGATCGCCGACCCTTACTCTTCTGTCGATACATAGACGACTGCTTCATCGTCTGTTCCACAGAAGAACAGATGGACGAGTGCTTCGAATTGTTAAATCG